TCCTGCAGAAGATCCAACAGATGAGCAGCTGAAGACAGAAACACTCTGTACGTTCCCTCAGCACAGACGATAAGAACAAACTCTCTGCACTGTGTTTATTCATCTCAGAGACTCGTTGAGACCTCGAGACCTCTACGTTCAAACCTCAAACTGTTTTAAAGTGTAGGAAACAGAATCAGAAGATTTTCTACAGATAAAAAAATAACTTTAATTATCAGATGTTATGAATCAGGATTAATTTAATATAGTGACTCTGCAGCTTCAGTGTGAAGTTCCTCTTTAAACTGGATCTATCGCTGAGCCTCCGTCGACATCGAACAGCTCGGACACAGGCTGCTGAGGTGTAGAGTGATCAGAGACGTAGACGTCCGCTTGAATGTAAATGAACGAGAGAATAAATACATAAAAAAGAGGTTTAATAAAGAGTTGAATCTTTGTGAGTTCTTCATTGTGCAGAGGGAAAATAACAAATCAAAGAGAAATAAATAAAAGTCCGTGTAATAATGAGGTTTGAGGTTATCAGTGATTTATCTTAATCAAATCCTGTTTGTGCTTTTGTGTCCGCTGAGAGAAGCGAGCCGTTTAATAAAAGTTCATTAATCCTTTTCTTTCTGTTTTCTGTCCTCAGCACCAAGAAAAACACATTTTAATCAGGACTTTTAAACAGACTGAGAGAAAAGAGCAGATATGAAGCTCAGCTGATAACAGACACACCATGTACATTGTTAACTACAGGAAGTCACTCAGGTCTGAATGTTAAACTGTCAGCTGGAGCTTCCTGTCCTCATGTCCTAGTGTCCTTGTGTCCTCATGTCCTCGTATCCTGAAGGAAGCTCACAGTAATGTCTCAGGACAGAAACTGACAGGAGCGTTTCTCTGACTGTCAGCAGGATCAGGTTCTTCTTCCTCTCTGGTAAAAATTCACCTCCAGTCGGCCAGAGGAACTCTTCATCTCTCAGGTACTGTTTTCCCCCATCAGTCTGGAGTCAAGGTGTCATCATCATCATCATCATCATCATCATCATCATCATCATCATCATCATCTCTCCCCAGAACTTTTGAAACTCTGACACGCGCCCATTAGGTTACACTACACCAAACTAAAAACCATAGTTATGCAGACGACACTCATGTTTATCTTCTTCTGTCACCAAAGATTCACTCTGGCAGAGAACCGAACACAGAAGTGACCAGATGTTCTTGAACGTGCCTCAGACAGAGCTCGGAGTCAGAGCTTGTCCACAAACCCAAAGTCACAAATCTCTGACTTCAACTTTAACAAATCAACAGCACAGTCTGAGGAAAGGATTCACAATGAGGCAGAGCTGAGAGAAACCAGGAGCTTCACATGACTCTGACGGTCTCTTCTCAGAAACCTCAGAGTTCCAACAAAGACACAGGACAGTGAACACATCAAAGCAGTTCTCAGGTGTGTTCACTGACCTTCAGTGTGTCACAGAACTTACTGAGTGTATATAAAGCTCTCATTAGACAAAAATACAGGCCTGACTGTCTTTTACCATATAACCCCCCTGAAACTCTCAGGTCATCAGGTCACCAGGTCATCAGGATGCTGACTATCCCCAAACTAAAGGTGTAGAAGCAGCATGAGGTCTCTGAGAGGAACAAACCGCCACATGAGATCAGACCCCTTTAAAGCTTCAAAACTGTTGTCTGTCCTCTGTTGTCTGTTGTCTGTCTTCTGTTCTCTGTTGTCTGTTCTCTGTTGGTGTCTCTGTTTTAAGACATTTTCTTGAATTTGCATATGAATGTTTTTATGCTGTTTGTCTTTTAAAATGTTTTAAATGCTTCATATCAAATGTTCTTGTAATGCCTCATAATTCAGGACCTGGCCCCGAAAAGACCAAAGGCCCGTTTCCACTGAAGAAGTTCCTGGTACTATTTGGGGGGCAGGAACTACTACAGGAATGTCCTCTCGCCCAGCCCTCTCAACCGCCGTGTCTCCACTGAGAGAGCGGAGTACGAGGAAGGTTCCTGTAAAGTTACAGGCTCTGGATGTGACGTAATGGTTGCGCGACCATTTTGACTGGGGCGACATAAGGACGCCGTTAGCTGTTAGCCGATAGCGGTGTCTGTAATAACTCACTAAATGGCCCGTGAAAAAAATATTTTTTTTCCAGCGGATGTCTTAGTTACAACATGATTGAGCTAACTGGAGTAGTTTCATGTCGTATCCGACAACGGGAGGCTTTTAACAGATGACGTCCTGATGTTAGCTTTGCTGCTGCTTTTAGCTGTCCCTGTCAGCTGCAGCCACTGATGCTTTCTAGACATCGTGATTTCCCAAAACTGAATAAATGAGTTTTAAAAATGCCGGCTATTTTGTTGCTTTCTGTTGTCGTCACATCCCTCCTTGAATATATCCAATCAGCACCAAGTAATCCCCAAGCCCCAGCCAGGAGTCTTTCGGGGCCATTCTGAGTACCTACTCCGAGGCAGGGACTTGTTTAGCCCCTGTAAAAGTTCCGGAACTCTGTCCTTCGGGGGTGGTTCCTGCGGTGGAGACACGCACCAACGGCCCCGGCCCCGTAAAATTACCCCGAAGTTCCTGCGATGGAAACGGGCCTCAAGATCTGGACTCCGAAAGGACCTGGACCTAAACCCTCAGAAGATGACATCCTCGTCCTTTAAGAGTCCAGGACCGGTGCTTAACAGAGTCAAGGACCCTCAAAAGACTGAGACTTGGACTGGGACCTGGTTCTTTAAGGATCCAAGACCTGGACTTTTAAAGGACCGGGTCCTGGATCCTGTGTTACAGTGACACTGCAGATGTGAATATAAAGTGTTGGTTTGTCTGATTTCAGTCTGTAGAAGGTAAAGTGACTCCGTAGTGTCAGTAAAGAACTCGTTCAGTCAGTCTGACTCGTGATCTTAAGTTTCAGGAGTTCAGATAAGGAACCTGAAGATCTGAAGTCAAACCAGGTTCTCTGTTTTTATAAATGTGTATATAATGTGAGCTGCACTCTGTTGTTGCTCAGTAAAATGAGTTTGAGGTTTGAAAGAAGCATTGGAGTCAGAGTGGGCGTGGCCTGCTGACTTTATTCACTGTGAGGAAATGGTTTCAGTACAGCCAACAGTCCTTCAAACAAGAGTTACATTCAAACAACAAAAACCAAACGAGTGGAGCTGATTGGATCATCAGCTTTGATTGACAGCGCTATAAATGTGTGACGACATTAACGTTCACTTTGTTTTTTGATACAAAACAATGGTTTGTTTTTCAGTGTGGCACCACATACACACACACATGAAGACGACATGACTCGACATCCATCTCTACAAAAACAATCTGAGATCATATAAATACAATATTTATAATCTGTATGGTACAAAAGAGTTCCCTCAGTGACGTGATCAACCACAGTGACGTATAAATATTCAGCCAGCTACACAAAACCCACACACAAAACACAGGGGCGGGGCTCTGGTGTGCAGGGCGGGGTTTAAGTGCTCGGGGCGGGGCTTTGGGAGGAGGAGGAGGAGGAGCTAGAATAAAAAAAGACAACTCTGAACAAGTAGACGGAGAGTCACAGTAGCCTATCAGGATGCAGGATTCGTTTTTACAGTGCGAGCATAAAAAAGAAAACAAGATAAAAATCATAGTAAAACACAGACAGGCAGGGGTGGGGCTTAAGGAGGAACGGGCGGGGTCAGTACGTTTCATTCATTATTCTTTTCACCGCGTTTCAGAGGTCACAGGCTCAAATTATTCAGGTTTCAGATCTGTGACGTTGTTCATGATGTTTGACGGCTGAAGACAAAGTCGTCACAATAGTGGACTCTGATTGGCCGACAGCAGCAGAGGTAAACCAGCTGCAGGTTTTAGACATTCAGGTCCTGGATACTCGTATAAAGATATTCTAAAAACTGATATTTTCTCCATCTGCACAGCTTTTGTTTAAAACGTGTGGTCGGCAACACAGCCCAAGCTGCTGCGGAGAAACTGATATGACGATGATAACAAGTGTAAACAAAGACGAAGACAAAATATTTGCACTGTTGGCATATTTGTTCGAGTTGAAATTTTTCATCTCGAGTGATAAAGTCTCTTGACGCTGTGTCACAAAGCCAATCAGAGCTGAGATCTGGTCGAGTTTCTCCTGATGGAGGACAAACTTTCTGTGGACATGTGAAGCTCAACGACCCAACGTCGGTACAGGGTCACTGCTGAGAACATGCAGACTCCATGTTCTCCCTGTTCAACTCACCTGATCCCAGCTGTCAAGCGTTAGCTGCCTTCTGCTCTTAGTTATCACAACTGTGAATGTTTCAAAATACTCCAAGAATACACTCCAGCTGCCGCACAGTGTCATGTTAGAGTTTGGGCCCCCTGGTAAAATGTTGTTTACTGTGAGTAGTTCAGCGAGTTTCAGATGAACTGATCTCCAACAGACATGAAGTTAAAGATGAAACATGCTTTTCAACATATTAAAGATCAGTGTTTTATTTTTGTTTTCTACAATTTTAGAGTGAAAACAAAGAGCTGCCTAGCACTCTGAAAACTAAAAGACCTGATGAAGACTAGAAGAAGATAGCAAAGTGTTTTCAGGGAGCTGTTTCCTCGGTTGGTCATGTCATTAAGAAATGGCAGTTAACAGGAACTGTGGAGGTCAAGCTGAAAACTTTGTGAGAGAGCTGCTCGTAGGATTGTTAGAAAGGAAGAGTGGTGGTGCACTGTTTTACTGTGCAGACACACCTGGACAGGTATGACCTTCATGGAAGAGTCATCACAAGAAAACCTTTCCTGTGTCCTCACCACAAAATTCAGCCTCAGGAGTTTGCAAAGGAACATGTGAACAAGCCTGATGCTTTTTGGAAACAAGTCCTGTGGACTGATGAAGGTAAAACAGAACTTTCTGGACACAATGAGCAAAGGTATGTTTGGAGAACAAACTGTTAAACACGAAGGTGGATGGATGATGCTTTGGGCTTGTATTGCAGCCAGTGGCACGGGGAACATTTCACAGGTAGAGGGAAGAATGGATTCAGTTAAATTCCAGACATCACAGCATCTGTATAAAAGCTGCAGATGAAGAGAGGACGGCTTCTACAACAGGACAATGATCCTAAACACACCTCCAGATCCACAATGGACGACCTCAAGAGGAGCCAGCTGAAGGTTTGGCCACGCCCCTCACAGTCCCCCAACCTAAACATCATTAAACATCTGTGGGCGCTACTGAGCACTGACCATGCAGGGGGCTCAAACTTTGGCTTTGGCCTTTTCATTTTTTGTTATTGTGAAACTGTAAAAGATGAAATTAAAAAGTTTAATCTTGATTAAAATATTAATGAAATGTTTCATCTTTAACTTCATGACTTTTGGAGATCAGTTCATCTACTATTACATCTACTCACAGGAAATGAAGTTTAGACCAAACTTTTACATGACACTGTATTCATGTGAGTAACGTGATGCGGAAATTTGTTTCACATTGGGTGTGAACAAAGCATTAGTCTCAGTTTTCATGACCTGAACCTGTTTGAAGACGAGATGCCAAAACGTGGAGGAAAATATCAGTTTTGATAAATATGCGTATCCATGGAGACGCGACCTTAAACCTGATTTCAATGATTGGTCAGTGAGGGAAGCCAATCAGGACCAAGCTCATTCTTCCTGGGTTCCGACATAGGAACACTTCTTATTCCTCCTTCCCTAAGCTTCCTTCATCTTGCCTCCTAGGTAGCAGTGGTCCTTCCTTCCTAACAAGGAAGCTTACATCTTTTCTGCTCCCTAGCTGGACACCTTGATCCCTACCTGGAAGCCTCCTCATCCCTGCCAACAGACTACAAAGTTTCCTTTTTCCTTGCTACCTAACTAGGAAGTTTCCTCCTCCCTTGGTCCATCCCTGGAAGCCTCCTCTGTCCTAGCCCTCCCCTCTCTTGCTCCTTAACTACAATTTTTCCTCCTTCCTTGCTTCCTAAGTAGGAAACCTCCTCTTCCCTTGTTCCCTGGCTGGAGGCATCCTTCTTCCTTGCTTCCTAACTACCTTGCTTCTGTTATTTGTGAATGGAAGTTTCCTTCTTCCTTGTTTCCTTGCTGTAAATTTCTTTCCTCTGCGAACATCCTGATCTGTTTTTAAACGTGAGGACCAATCACAGGCAGCATGAGGAGGACGTGTCCTGTCTGTCCTCCCTCACTGAGACATACGTCCCGACTTCAGTGTCCTGATGATGTCCAGGTGTCCACGTCCTGAGCAGGTGACCAATCAGGTATGAGGGCAGTTCTGTCTTTTATGTCCACAAGGCCTGGATCCGTCTCCCAGAATTACATCACAAGTAGAGAAAATGATGTCATGTCACAGGTGTGACATCACAGTTTTACACAAACAGACCCCACCCCCCAAACACAGAGTACAACATGAGAATAATTACAGAGAGCTGAGAGCACCAGAGAAAAGACCGGAGACTCCGTCCACTCAGAGACGACAGTTTCTGTTTTTATCTGTGACAGACAGCATCGATACTCTGTCCTGACTGGTCAGCTGCTGCCTGAGGCCCTGCCTCCTCTGAGGTGATTGGTGCTCGTGGCTGAGGGGGGAGGAGAGATGAGGACCGAGGAGGAGAGATGTTTTACATCGGAGGGACGACGAGGCCAGACATGGCTGTGGACACAGAGACACAAAGACAGAGCCGGTAAATAGGACTCAAAGTACAGCAGCAGCTACAGCAGAACAGACACTCTGGACAAAAAGGTCATGTCTGTGTCACTAAATGTCTCTCCTGCAGTAGTAGCAGAGGTAATTGTACTAGCAATAAGGATACATGTTGCAGTAGTAATGTTGTAGTTGTAGCATCAGTAGCATCAGTAACATCAATTGTAGCATCAGTGATACAACAGTAAGTTGTAGTAAAGCTGTCTCAGCTGATTTATGGACGTTTGTCCTGGATGGAGGTCAGAGAGACTGAATGACTTCACCTGCTGACAAACTCACTTCCTGTTACCTGTCCCTTCACCTCATCTGTCTCCCCCTCCTCCCCCCTCTGACTGTCCCACAAAACCTCTGATATAAAAAATAAAAGCAAGTCTCACACACACACACACACACACACACACACACACACAGTGTGATGTCATTCCTCATTAGCTTCCTGCTAACGACAAAATGCATGTAGCAGCACGCAGTTTAATTTACCAGCTCATTACATACACACACACACACACACACACACACACACCGAGTTTGAGTTTTTAATTTAGTGAAACCACGAGACTGTAAAATGACACTTCACTTGTTTAGTCATTAACACAGAGACAGACAGACAGACAGACAGTGACAGAGACAGACAGACAGATGGACAGACAGACTCCTCCCCCATGGGGATGGTGGTGTGTCCTTCTGAAGCTCGAGTCCTGTACCAGAATCCTGGGAGTCTGAGGGTTCAGTATCTTGTCTGTTCCTAGGACTCCTCTGGACAGAGAGCACAGATGTTGGACCTGAATTTGCTGGAGCCACTATCGCAGTTTGGGGGTCACAGCCCTCAGTGCTCCCAGTGGCCCTAGTTCTTCCAGTGCTCCCACTCCTCCAATGACCACCTTTACTCCTCACATCTTTTCTAGCTCCTCTTTCAGCCCTTGGTGTTTCTCCTTCTTCCTGATGTTGCTGTTATCAATCACCACTTCCTTCTTCTGTTGTTTGTCCATCAACACGATGTCCGCTTGGTTCGCCATCACCAGTTTGTCCCACAGGATCTCAGCTCACTCATTCTCCATCACCTTAGGAGGTGTCTTCCACTGTGACCTTGGGACTTCTGGCCAATAATCAGTGCACATGTTCCTGGACAATGTGTCAGCCACTTGGTGGTGGTATTCCATGCACGCTCTTCCTGCCTCCATCTTACATCCTGCTGTTATGGTCTGAACTGTCTCAGGATCACCTGGGGTCCTGTCTGCTGTGGTAGACCCCTGCTTCTATTGATCTGGTACTGAGTGCCTGTTCCTGTCTGTCTGTCTGTCTGTCTGTCTGTCTGTCTGTCTGTCTGTCTGCCTGTCTGTCTGTCCAGCCTTTTCCAGAGACTGCTAGGATTTCTTCTTTAGTCTGTCAGTGGTACATGCCGTAATGATGGCTCATCCTCCTCCTCTGCTGCCTGAGGAATTCACTCAGCAGCTCATCTTTGGGGGCCATCTTCCTGATGTGTTCCTGGATCTTGGGTGTTTGGTCCTTCACAGTGGCTCTGACGGTCACCAATCACTCACCAGCCCCCCTCGTTCCTCTTAGTGTACAGTCTACAGGGTGTTGGACTTAGTGTACAGTCTACAGGGTGTTGGACTTAGTGTTCAGTCTCAGGGTGTTGGACTTAGTGTGCGGTCCCCATGTAGAGGAGGTGACTGATGGTTGACCCGGTATCCGTAGCTACTCTTTGTGATGAGTTGGCTGAGAGGGTTCAGGCTCATGCAGAACAGTAGCGGGGACAGTGCATCATCTTGGCATATGCTGCACTTGATGGTGACTTGTGCAGCTGTCCTTGAGTTGGTCTCCAGAGTTGTTTTCCACAGACCCAATGAGTTCTTCATAAAGGCTCTTAATGTCCTGTTGATGTTGGACATTTCCAAACAGTCCAGTATCCATGTGTGTGGCATTAAGTTGTGGGCTTTCTTGTAGTCGATGTGCACAGATTGGTCTGCCTGGTCTTGCAGTTTTGGTTGACTGCTCTGTTGACCAGTAGCTGGTGCTACTACCCATTCCTCCCTGGGCCTTGCTCATGTATTGGGCCATGTGCCCATTTATCTCAGCCACTATGATGCCTGACAAGAGCTTCCATGTTGTACAGAGGAAGGTTATTGGCTGGTAGTTGGAACAAACTGCACCATTCTAGGATCCCTCATGGTCAGGACTGTCCATCCCTGCGTCATCCACTCTGGATCCTTCATGATCAGGACTGTCCGTCCCTGGGTCATCGACTCTGGATTCTTCATGATCGGGACTGTCCATCCCTGAGGCCAACCACTCTGGATTCTTCATGATCAGGACTGTCCGTCCCTGGGTCAACCACTCTGGATCCCTCATGATCAGGACTGTCTGTCTCTGGGTCATCCACTCTGGATTCTTCATGATCAGGACTGTCCTTCCCTGGGTCTACCACTCTGGATCCCTCATGATCAGGACTGTCTGTCTCTGGGTCATCGACTCTGGATCCTTCACGATCAGGACTGTCCATCCCTGGGTCATCCACTCTGGATCCTTCACAATCACGACTGTCCGTCCCTGAGGCCAACCACTCTGGATTCTTCATGATCAGGACTGTCCATCACTGGGTCAACCACTCTGGATTCTTCATGATCAGGACTGTCTGTCTCTGGGTCATCCACTCTGGATCCTTCACGATCAGGACTGTCCGTCCCTGGTTCAACCACTCTGGATTCTTCATGAACAGGACTGTCCATCCCTGGGTGTTAGTGTTGTGTTAGTGTTGTATTACAGTTGTGTTCCTGTTGTGTTAGTGTTGTGTTAGTGTTGTGTTACAGTTGTGTTCCTGTTGTGCTTCTGTTGTGTTAGTGGTGTGTTCCTGTTGTGTTCCTATTGTGTAAGTGTTGTGTTAGTGTTTTGTTAGTGTTGTGCTCCTGTTGTGTTAGTGTTGTGCTCCTGTTGTGTTAGTGGTGTGTTCCTGTTGTGTTCCTATTGTGTAAGTGTTGTGTTAGTGTTTTGTTAGTGTTGTGTTGCTGTTGTGTTACAGTGTGTTCCTGTTGTGTTAGTGTTGTGTTAGTGTGAAGGTAAACATGTCTCCATACTGAGTTTATTTTTCTGTCGTACCAACTGCAGCTGCAACTATTAATAACATTCAAACTATTTATTCATCTGCGATGATGGTGTACGGCCTGCAAATGGATCCACACACACACACACACACACACACACACACACACACACACACACACACACACACACACACACACACTCTGTGGCCTTTCTGCCTCGGTGAAGGCGGAGAGCAGCATGAATATTTAACACTCGACAAACCTCTCTGTCAGAAACACTGACATCACACTGACTGCCACAGTGTGTGTTTAATGTGTGTGTGTGTGTAATGTGTGTGTGTGTCGGTGTGTGTGTGTGTGATGTGTGTGTGTGTGTGTTTAGAGGATGTATCTGTGGGTTGTAGTGAATAAAACATGGATTGGCCTGTCACTCTGCATGCAATACTAACACTACTCAGGTTACCCACCCTGTGTGTGTGTATAATATGCGTGTGTGTGTGTGTGTGTGTGTGTGTGTGTGTGTGTGTGTGTGTGGGTCGGTGTGTATGTATCATGTGTGTGTATTCAGTGTTGGTGTGTAAAGGAAAGCCGAGCTGATGAAACTGAAGCTGTGGTGAATCTTTTAAACTTCTTTAAGCAAACATGACTGTTAATCTTTCACTGTGTCAGTAAAGATTCAAATTGTTTAAATCGTTTACATCAGGCTGTTTCTGTTTTTACTGACCCCCATGTTTTTAATAAACCTTCAGTTTTACACTGCCTCTTCAGAGCGGGAATCGAACTGATGATAAAATCACTGACAGAGCACTGGGACTGAGAATGGGCCAGTCCTGTTGACACAATCCCTCACCACAGCATTAATCCACCACTGAAAACAGTCCCCAACAAAGTCACTATTTCCTGTTTGTTTGATAAAAAGTACAGTGAGCAGCTGTCTGAGGAAATTAACAATCAAACTATAGATCTGTGTTTTTAAAGATCTTCAGTAGGAACCAATGAGCTCACAGCTGAGGGACACAGATAGGAAGTCAGACAATGTTCAGAGATGGACGGACATGTTGTCGGTTAGAATCTGAACATGAAATTCAGTGACAAGTATAAAAATTAAGGATGGAGGATGTGAAGGACCATACATGGAGCCCTGAGGAACTCCAGATTTAACACATTGTTGATTTACACCTGAACAGACTAAAAATACAGAACGAAAACACACCAAACTTATGTATGAAAACCATTTCAAGGAGAAGGAACAGAACTGAATCCATTTCTATTAAATATCATCCAAAAAATAATAACAAGAATCTCTGGTTCTAAAGACAGGAGAATAAGAAAAGATCATGACTGAGGAGATCAGATTTCTGACTAATGGGAGGAGGAGGTATGAAGAGGTATGAAAATTAATGAGGAGTAGGAGGAGCAGGAGGAGTTGTGGTGTCACCTTGCAGCCCGTTGGAGTTGTTGCCGGAGCAGTTGGGTGGAGGAGGTGAAGCCGGCGGCCTAACAACGGGAGCAAAGGCGCTCTTCTGTTTTACAGCGGCTGAGAAGGAGAAGACTCCGTGAGAGGAGTTACAGTTCGATACGGCCATGGTCGGACTGGATGGAACTACTGGAACACAAGAGACAGGAGACTGGTCAGAAACCAGTTCAACCAGTTCACAACATGTCAACAAGTGTCAGTTTTGAATTGTAGATCCTCACATTTGTCTGACCAATTTTAGGATGTCTTATCATGTTGGCTTTGAAACTAAAGTTTAAATTCAGGAAATGGACCTGAGATTCTTTTCTGTTCAACCAGTTCACAAACTGGTCTTCACCCAGTGGACACACCTCAGACACCAGCAGACATCTTGACCTGAAGACTGTTCTAAAAAGAAGTGAACAGGAGTCGAGAACATCCTCTGGAGAGCAGGAACATTCTCTCACTAAAATCTGATGTTTCTTCAGTAAGAACAAAAAGTTTTTCACTTTAACCAGTTCATCCCAGTGACTCTTAAACTAGTTCCAGTGTGGGCTCAATAAATGCTCTGGTACTGTAGTAAATCATGAAATGATAAGACTGAGACAGTACTGTTCAGTAAAGTATTACTGTAACTGTAACTAGTCACAATGTCATCACTAACTGTGTTTGAGCAGTAACAGCAGTAGTAGTAATGAGTATTTACCTTGATACTTATTGCCGTTGGGAGATTTGGCAGATGAGCCATTTAGGGAAGCCGGGGATGATAGTAACAGTAGCAGTAGTAACAGGTGTAATATTTACCTTGATACTCAGTGTGTTATGTAGCAGTAGGGACAGCAGCAGCAGCAGCAGCAGTAGTAACAGTAGTAGTTGTAGTAGTTGTAGTAACAGATGTAGTATTTACCTTGATACTTACTGCCGTAGGGAGAGTTGGCAGACGAGCCATTAAGGAAGCCCGGAGATGTTGCCACTCCTAAGTTTGGCATGCCAGTGTTGCCATAGCCGTTCATGCTGTTGCTGACAGTGTTGCCATAGTTACTCTGTTGGGGGGTGGAGCTCGGTACGTATCCCCGTGGCGACACGCTGCTGGTGTTACGACTGTAGCCAACTGTAGGAGAAGGACATGATGGCAGGTTTAATAATACTGCAGTAACCTGTCGACAGTACTCATAGTACTCATCCTGCAGGTCCTACCTTGCGTTGTGTCAGAGACGTTGACGGCCAGCTGCCCACTGAAGGAGTTAACTCCCATCATGCCATGGGAGGCGGTGTTGCCTAGCGACGGGATCTGGTTGTGGTTCCTGGGAACGCTGTAGAGAGCTTCGGCGATGTCGGCTGCACGCTTCAGGATAATCTCCTGAAGGAGAGACATCAAAGTATTTACTTCAAGTACTTTTTAACTTTACTAATGTATGTAGAGTGATAATATTTATTAGACATGTCTGTTAGACATGACTGTTGTTTTCTTTCTGGTGTTCTAAAACACAACCACTGTATCACACAGAGGTAACACTATGTCACATATGTCATCGATCTGATTGGTTGAAACTCTGAATGTCCAGAGTCACTTTGATCTGCAGATGTGTGCTCTTTAGCCCTTTGACCAAATCTGCTAACATCTGGCTTTTTAATGTAGTAGGAAAGACTTCAATCAGCATTCACACCTGGGTCACATGACTCTGCGATATTCAGGTATTCAGCTCCAGCTCTGATCAGCAGTGATGGAAACACAACATCCACTTGAACGCAATAAGTTTAACCTCTTTGTTAGCGAGACGGGATGACACGCCTCCACAAAATACTGTCCGTTTCCATCCAAGCAGTGCTCAAACGTTGATCCAAATCAATCTGCACCGAGTTTAAAGACTGAATCAGTAAGAGACAAAGAGTAACCAGTGTAAATTTTTATTACTGGCCTTGATGCTGCTTTCTATTGTTTACTAACCAGTTTTCAGGTGTGTTTGTGACGTTGAACTAAAAAAAAACAAATATAAAGGCATCCTCGTCTGCCTGGGGTGTTAAAAATTTCAAAATGATCTCAGAGGTTACAGACTGGGGCGGCACAGTGGTGCAGTGGTTAGCACTGTTGCCTCACAGTAAGAGGGTTCCTGGTTTGAACCCAGGGTGGTGGAGTCCTTCTGTGTGGAGTTTGCATGTTCTCCCTGTGTTGACGTCGGTTTCCTCCAGGTGCTTCAACATGTTCTTCCCATGTCAGCGTGGGTTTCCTCCAGGTGCTCCAGTTTCCTCCCACAGTCCAAAGACATGCAGGTTAATTGGTGACTCTAAATTGTAGGTGTGAATGTGAGTGTGAATGGTTGTCTGTCTCTATGTGTCAGCCCTGTGATAGTCTGGTGACCTGTCCAGGGTGAACCCTGTCTCTCGTACAGTGTCAGCTGGGATAGGCTCCAGTCCCCCCCCATGACCCCTAACAGGATAAGGGGTTACACAAAATGAATGAATGAATGGTTTCAGGCTGACAGTGAATGTGTGTGTTGCTGTCAGGATTCAGTGACGTCTGGAAGTGAAGTTCATTCTGATTTCAGCTTATTATTTTTATCATTTTCACATGAAGACTCTGTCTCACATTAAATACACAAGTTTGTTTCATGTTGTCACACACATACATACACACACACACTCACACACACGTGCGCGCGAAGACAACATGTGACCTTAAACACACACACACACTGATGCAGTTATTATTATTATTACAGTTGGATTTACATTCGTTTACAACCTGCGTTCTCTGTTCAAGGTTACTGCTTCACTTCAATGGACCTGACGGTGTGTGTGTGTGTGTGTGTGGTGTGTGTGTGTGTGTGGTGATTAACTGGTGTGTTGAGAAGCGTGTCGGAAGGACGGAGTGAATATAAAGTGTTTGGGTGTTTCAGGAGGTTCTGAGTCATAAACCTGCAGCAGCAGCAGCAGCAGCAGCAGGAGGAGGAGGAGGAGGGACGTCCTGCTTGCTGAGCTTCATCTTTACTACAGAATCAACAACAGAAACTCCTTCAACCTCCTGAGGGTAAAGTCACTGAAGCTCCAACTGAAAGAAGCCGAAGGATGGACAGATGTGGACAGATGTGTACAGGTGTGGGCAGGTGTGGACAGATGTCTACAGGTGTGGACAGGTGTGGACAGGTATGGACAGGTGTGGACAGATGTGTACAGGTATGGACAGGTGTGGACAGGTGTGGGCAGGTGTGGACAGATGTCTACAGGTGTGGACAGGTGTGGACAGGTGTGGACAGATGTCTACAGGTGTGGACAGGTGTGTACAGGTGTGGGCAGGTGTGGACAGATGTGAACAGGTATGGACAGGCGTGGACAGATGTGTACAGGTATGGACAGGTGTGGACAGGTGTGGGCAGGTGTGTACAGGTGTGGGCAGGTGTGGACAGATGTGTACAGGTGTGGACAGGTGTGTACAGGTGTGGGCAGGTGTGGACAGATGTGTACAGATGTGGGCAGGTGTGGGCAGTTGTGTACAGGTGTGGGCAGGTGTGGACAGATGTCTACAGGTGTGAACAGGTGTGGACAGATGTGTACAGGTCTGGACAGATGTGTACAGGTCTGGACAGATGTGTACAGGTCTGGACAGGTGTGGACAGGTGTGGACAAGTGTGGGCAGGTGTGGACAGATGTGTACAGGTGTGGACAGGTGTGAACATTACCTGGTTGTTATGAGGCATCCCGTAGAGCGCCTCCACCAGGTCAGCTGCTCTCTTCAACAGCACCTCCTGAAACAGGAATAGGAGGAGGTTCACACAGGAAGTTAAAACAGGATTGATGACAGCGACAGTGGAAATGATCTCCACTGATGAGATGTTTCATGTGTTCACTCTGTTTGTGTCCTCACAGGAAACACTGTGTGGATGCCATAGACTGTAAATAAAGATAGACGACGTGTGTCCACTTCCTCCCACTGTGCAACAACAAACCAAAATATCCAAGACAACCCCCTCCACCAACACGAGTCCTCACGAGTCCTCACCATCATCAGCAAACTTTCTGTTGCTGCTGTTACACAGATTGGACCCAGTGTTGCTGATGGACGACGGGGCCGAGCTTTGTGTTGACTGAATTTTTCTTACAGCAGCTGAGTTCTGAGCTGCTGTCCACTCTCCTCCAGGGGAAGGACAGACTGCATATAAAGATGGACGACACGTCTCCACTTTCTCCCACTGTAAGATCCTGACACAACAAGCTGACAGTTGGCCATCGGTCAAAGTTGGGCCGTTGGTGACCATCTGTCACTCTAATCTGTGCGATGTCTTCCGCACTGTCGGCCCTCGTTGGCTTGTTTATTTTGTCTGATTCATCGTATTGAATCTGTCGGTGAATGACCTCCCTCTGACTGTCAGCTGAGCTCAGGTGAGGAGCAGAGAAGCGTCAGTGAGGAAAGGAGGAGCTAAAGTCCAAAACCAACTTGTTCCATGAGGTCAGATTATTTTTCTCTTAGCAGAAACATTACCTGATGGTTTGTGTTACTGTTCACCGGTGCACGGTAAATATGCTCTGATTGTATTGTTAATGTGCTAACTGGCTAACTAGCACCAAGACCCTCTTCCTGTTTCCCTTTCTCAATGATGAATACAGAAGACCGCCATCTGCTGTTGTGGAGAGTTATTTCCTCTCAGCAGGAGCAGAACGGACAAGCTGATTGGCTGTTGGCTGGAGTCTCTGTGGTGTGTTCAGGTGAAGGTTTCTGGCTTAGACACAGCGACATGAGGTGACACAGGGACATGAGGTGACACAGCGACATGAGGTGACACCGTGGCATCAGGTGACACAGGGACATGAGGTGACACAGGGACATGAGGTGACACAGCGACATGAGGTGACACAGTGACATGAGGTAACACAGCGACATGAGGTGACACAGCGACATGAGGTGACACAGGGACATGAGGTGACAGTGACATGAGGTGACACAGGGACATGAGGTGACACAGGGACACAGCAGGGGGCTTTTGTTGCTGCTGATTCTCTGAAGTCAGTCAGGTGTGTCTGGACCTGAATTAAAATGAAGCCAAAATATCTGAATACAGCTGCCGCCATCTTGGACTGGTGACATCATGTGGAGCCAGAATCTGCACAGTAGTGATCTCCACAGTGATGAGTTCCTGCCCAACCACCTGTCCAACCAATCCATAACAGTGCCATAGATCATGAGCACACTGACTGGCACACACAGCTGTCAATCATGATGTCACAACCTGTTCATTACATCAGATAACTAATTAAAAGCAAACTGATCAGATACACAAACACTGGAACAAACATCAGTGAGACAACAACCACCTGAAACCACAGACACGTTCTGTGAGTTTTTAGTTTGGACCATGTCCCACCCAACAACATGTAGGGGGCGGGGCTTATGACCTGTACTGCCGCCAGCCACCAGGGGGCTATCACATGTTTCAGCTTTACTTATGTTTGTCCAACTTTATTTTACAGTCTGTGATACACACAACGTATTTATCACATTTACTACAGTGTTTGTGCTCCAAATTTAAACCATTGAGTGTGTGTGTGTGTGTGTGTGTGAGAGAGAGAGAGAGAGAGAGAGAGTGTGTTGACCTGACAGGGCTGACAGTATTAAACAGTGTTTATTCTAATCAGAGCTCAGTTACACTTCACAGAGCACACACACACACATACACACAAACACACTCTGAGCCTCTTTAACACTGAACCACTTCACTTCAATGAGCCGTTAGTGTTAAAATGCTGCCAAACAAACAGCTGTGTGTGTGTGTGTGTGTGTGTGTGTGTGAGTTACAGTGTCTGTGTCTCAGAGTGTTCGTACTCAATACATCATGAAGACCATAAAACGTATTTTAGACACAGACAGAGGACGCCTTGGTCGGTCTTTAGTTCAGGTCAGACTCAGGTTCAGCAGGTCTGATGTGAAGGTGTGACGGTTCAAGTTAGGAACACACTGTGTCAGTAAGGGTCCTCACAAAGATAGGAGTACAAGAATTTGTGTGTATGTGTGTGTGTGTGAGTGTGTGTGTGTGTGTGTGTGTGTAATCAGCCGTTGACAGAACAATGCTTCATTTAGTCTTTATCTTAATTAAACACTCTCTCAGTTAATCTGCTGCTTTTCATTACAAACTTCTTCAATTAACCCCGCCCCCTCAATCCTCCACCACTCCACTCCTCCACCCATCTATTCCCTCCTCCATCTGTCTGTTCATCCATCCATCCACTCCTCTGCCTCTCCATCACTTCATCCACCCGTCACACTGAGAGACCATCACTGAGTCGGAGCTCAGCACACTCATGCAGCCTCTACTCCGCCCACTGCTACCTCTCAAGCTGCAGCCTCTTCTCCAGAACCTGTGGCTCCGCCCACCTCCGATGATAAAACTCTGATTCTGGTCTCCAGGAACCAAGTGACAGATATCGTGCAGCGTCAGGCTCCATATTACCACCACCAGATCAGGGCCTCATGGAGCTGCTGCCCGCTTCCACAGCCTCCCTCAGCCTCCATCAGCTGGTGGTGACTCCTCCATCAACACTCCTTATTGGTGACTCCGTAGACAGAAATGTGAGAGTCACATGAAGAAACCCCATTACATCTGTGCTGGTTACCTCAGAGCTGTTTCCTGTCTGAAGGAGGCGGAGCACGCAGACTTTTATGTCCACAGCTCTGTGCTGAGGTGCTCCCCTTACTCCCTGTTTGTCTCTTTTCTTTTATTAACTACTTATATTTTTTAGTTTTATTTTTTACAGGTTACAGATAAAAAAAAAAAAAACTTGGATCACTAATGTCTTGAATTCTGATTTACAACCGTTCTTAAACACACCGTTCACTAACAGACTGTCACACACACACACACACACCCACACACACACTGAGAGGAAGTCATTTCTGTGAAGTACGTTCAGCCTGCGATCGTCTTTAATCTGCTCGTTTATGCAGAACGACGTTCAAGTGTGTCGCAGCATGAGAGGAGATTTATTCACACACACACACACACACCCACACACACACACACACACACACACACACACACACACACACTGTGTTTATAGTGACAAATGAAAGCCTTATTATTATTACAAGTGTTTCATTGTTACGCAGCGAGATGACAAGCACCTCTCACACACACACACATTAACAAGGTTACCACGGCGATAGAGCTGGAGGTGGGGATGTCATCGCTGAGGAGGAAACCAATTATTCTCTGAAGAGACACACACACACACACACACACACACACACAGATTCTGCCTCCGCAGCAAAAAAATTAACCTCAATAAACGCCACATCATTAATGTAAATTATTATTATTTCATTGTTATTATTATCATTATTATTAGTAATAATAATGATAATAATAATAATCACAATTTTGACAATAATAATGATAATATGATAACAAAATAAATCAGATATTACAAATCAGAATCTGTCATGATGACGAAAACAGTGACAGAGACGAGTCCACGACCGGTTCAGTCTGATGGGAGGAACAAAACCTCTAAATCACATCTTGGCCCCGCCCACTGCCAATCAACACTGACCTTCAGTTAAACCACAGACTGTAAAAATAATGGACATAACCACTGTGATGTCACCCGCTGGTTAATTGAACTGCCATTTTGAAGCCTCGAGTTCGGCATATCAGCCGTCACCATTTTGGTTTTTTGGAGCCAAAAGTGACCATATTTGGAGGAGAGCGTGGAGCTGTGGAGGAGTGAGGGGTGGATCCAGGGATGTGTTAACAAACCTGGTACAGCGTTGGAGGTGGAGCTCCATTCATTCCTATGAAAGCTGCTCAGTGGTGCATGAAGCAAAAATGCTCTGATTCCAGAGGCTAACAGCAGCAAAGTATGGCCGAGCGCGGCCGAGTGCAGCCAACTTCCTGTTCAGCTCTCCACTCAGCTGAATAGGGATAAAATAATTCAATAACCCCTCAGACTTTCCAAATGTTATCAAACTGAATGCATCAAATCCTGATAGTGAAAGAAGTCATGTCTTATGAGCTGTGGTGTCAAAAAAAAAAAAAAAAGTGATTAACAGGTATCTCTTTCACAATGTAGGTCAACGGAAAAAAGCTTTTTCGGGTCCAGTGGTGTTAGGTGATGTACTCCAGATGGTGTAATTCCACTTTTGACCACTATGAAAATTAGCTTCAAAGTGCAGTGCTCCTCCTGGGGACCTGCATGGATCTAACTCAGACTGTAGTGAAACCTCACAGACATCCTGTCAGTCAGAGAGGCCCCGCCCCCTTAATGATGTGTAACCGTAATAACATGTACACAGGTGAGTTGTATAAACATGTTTAAATGATCTCCAGAGTCCAGACAGGCTGTAAACATGTTGATGTCTACGTGTGAACATGGAGGTCTGTGGGGACTCACTCTAGTGGACATCAGAGGAACTGCAGGTTTGGACTCATGGTTCGGTCTCAGGGGGGCGCTGTTTGAGTTAAATGGATAAAACAGAAGATCATCTGCACAGAAGTTGAACCAGACTCGACTTTAACCTCTTCTGTCGCTTTACTTTTTGGATTGTCTCCTATTTTTACTCTATTTTATTTTAGTTTAGGTCAATACCTCTTATTATTTATGTCTTCTACTCTGTGTTTCTGGATTTATTTCTGTCTGTGTGCTGCTGCAACAACCACATTTTCATCACATTTCTGTAGATGAACGCATTATTTAAGAGTTCATTACAACTGAAGATGAAAGATGTGAAACCTCTTCACAGCTGCAAATGTTTAATTCACCTGTTCATAAGCCTTCAAACTCAAACTGAACCTCTGCATCAGACGTCAGCTTTATTTCAGATTTTGGATTTGAACTTCTGTTGATTGGCGGGGGGGGGGGGGCTGTCTCCGTCAGCGACCTCATGAAATGTGACGTCTCTGTTAGGAACAGACAGATTCACTTTAAACTGAGACTTTTGTTTTTGTTGTTGGCCGACGGACACACAGACACACAGACACACAGACGTCAACACAACCAACCAGCAAAAACAGAGAGGAGTTATTTCTTTTAATAAATCTGATAACAGACCGACTGATAGAGTGTGTGTGTGTGTGTGTGTGTGTGTGTGTGTGTGTGTGTGTGCCAATCTCCTTTCTTGCCACATGGCTGCACTCGCTGATTACCTGATTTGACTGTTTCAACCTCCCTGTTTGCCAATGGGCTTTACACACACACACACTGGTTTACCTTTTATTCAATCATCTCTTGTATGTGTGTGTGTGTTTGTAGAATTTAATGCTCTTTCCTGTTGGTGTGTGTGTGTGTGTGTGCGCATGTGTGTGTGTGTGTGTGTGTGACGTTAGCTAACAGTGATGAATGTTGTTTCGGTTCATTTACATAGAAACAACTCTAAAATAGAGTTAGCCTCTGCATGATGTCACACCTCGGGTCTGTGATTGGTCACTCTGAAAGTCAATAAGAGGACCTTTAAAGTTGGTGTAGGTGATGTTAAAGGGTTTTTGTTTCATTACATTGGTAACGACGAATAGCATTGCTGATTCATTGCATCACGTGATCCGGATATTGTAACGTGGACCCAGAATAGACTCCACAGACATAAAGTTTCGTGTAGCCATAGCAACGCCGTTTATAAACAACAATATACATATATG